GCCGCTGCGGTTGCTGCGGCCGCGCTGGAGTCTGTGGGCCAGTGTGAGGGGGCGGCGGGGAGCGGTGGTCAGGAGGCTCCGGGGCGAGCCCTGGCAGCGGGATATGCTGCGGGGAGGTTCCCGGCACCGCCATGTGCGGGGGGTGGCTTCGGGTGGAACCTGCCCCGAAGATGCGCTGGCTTTTAAATGAATTATAATAAAGTAATAGATTACATCATACATTACATTTTCAGCTTGTTCCTAACCTGCGAACTGAAGTAACACCGTGTCTAAAAACATTGGCAGCCTTCCTTTGTTTCTTCATGGGTTGTTCTCGTCAGGTTTCCCCAGTGTTTAAACGTGCTCCCAAATTTAGATATCACCGGCAAGTACTCTCTGAAAAAGAAAAGTTATGCAGAAAAAGCAAATATCCAGTGTGTCCGTGCTGTCAGGGCCCCTAGCTCGGCCTGTCCTGCCCTGCTCATGGCTGTGGGCCCCGTGGCGGGCACGGACCAAGGCCCACACAATTCCTGTTTCTGTCAGAACCAAGCTACACAGTGAGGTGAGGACTGAAATATATGGGTGACCCTTACAAGGCAATGTTTTCCTTATCTCTTCTGACCTAGAATCCCTTTTTGACCCAGCCATACAGGAACAACAGTACGGTTGCAGTTTCCCAGCTGAACAGCCGGGATCCCATTATTCTGCATGGTGCAACATGCAGCGTTCTTTCTGAATGCCTCTATTCATCGTGTGAAATCTGCAGCAACGTGCTAGGTAAGGTTAATGTTGTCAACTAAAACGTATTCCTATGGCTAGATGGCTTTTCCATCTCTAAAATGTGTGTATTATTATCCACAAGTAAAAACAGCTTCAGTCCTACTTGTAAACTGCTTGACGATCATTAGATGGAAAGCGCTAGGGGAATTAGTTTTTATTAAGTAGTTTTTGTCAATTCCCCTCTTTATGAGGCAGCATGGGGTATATTAAGCAAATAAAAACTAAAGTGAATTTTTAAGTCTCAGGTGAAGCCTATCTAAATATCCCAATGCCATCATAGGAAGAGGTGATCACAGTCTCGTGGTGGAACTGCTCATGCTAATATAAGAGCAGTTGGCTCAGTCATGCAAAGAAATTTTTTACCTCTTCTATTTCTTTTCCATTTACTTCTCATCTGCTTAATAGGGCTGAGCAGCTATAAACCAGAATATATGTCTGCTGCATGACTTCAGCTAAACTCAGGATTAATTTTGCAAATGAAATAACATCAAGATTCAGCCAAAAAATGTAGGTTGTTTTGGCAAGGCAGCATAGTGTGGTTCTGGAGCACAAGGACATGAGATTGTGATCAACACCTGAATTACCTTTGTCTTACTTAACCTGGATGTGTTGCTAAAGGCAACCACGTTTGCTGTCAAGTTATGCATGTCTGAAAGATTGAATCAGACCTAGCAGAGATGGGGTTTGTAAGATTGTCTAGATTTATCTCAGTCTCTAATTTCACAGCTTTTTTTTTTCTATACATGTATAGGGTGCTCTCCTCTACAAAATTCTGTTGTCAGTACTGTATTTGATGGCTTTGCAGGATGGGTCATGGATGAGCCTCAGGATGCTCAGCTCTTTCTAGGTGATGATGATGGTGAGTGTGCAGCCTGCCTATGTTGCCTCCTATTCAAGTGGAATCCTTTCATCTTAGATCACCTTGAGCATTACTTACGGTAATGAGGATGCCACGAGAAATTTTAATTTTGTAATTTAAATACATTTTCTTGCGATTTTACATCCTGAGTGCAGAAGTGTTTTCATCTGCAGAAATAAAGGAACATTTGCTTATAAACGTGAGAACTGAGAATCAGGACTGTGTGTGCAGGAGGGGGATTTCAGCTCTCTCCTGCTTCCTTTACTCTGCCAGATTTGAAGTATGCATTTTTGAAGCCAAGCTCATGGACCAAATGCTTTACAGCTAAACTCATTTTACTATGACTAAGTCGTTTAAAGTTACTACTGATCTATGTTGGTTTAATTATAGATTTTCATGGACTCATTCCAGATGGGGCCTAGATAAAGCATCAGAATTTTGTCATAGGACTTGATTTGTTATACAAAGTGTCATGAATATAATGGCACTGAATAAATAATTTACAGTAGCACGTGTCTCCTCTTATTTATAGAGTATAAATTGAGAGTTTTACTAATTTTATAGAGTTAGTGTGAACATACAGAGGGAAATGTACCATTCTGGGAGGGCATGCAGTATATTGAAAATAAGAGATTAAAAGTGGGAAATGTAGGCTTGAAAATAAAATTCTTTTATAAGGTTTAGCTTAGTAAGAATATGTGAATAGAATAGTGCAGATCTGTGGAGTCCAGATCTTGGAATACTTACTTGAGTGTGCTTTAGATCATGCTGCCAACACTTACAGTTCTTGGAAGTTCTGAAAAATCCAGTAACAGAGATACTACCTTATTTTTTACTGCAGTTTAAAGTAAGACTGTATGCACCTTGAGGGACCTCAATAAAGTAGTAATGAAACAACTAAATTATTATAAAATTTACTATCTCTATTAAGAAATTCAATCTCAGCAAATGACAAGATGACAAAGAACAAAACTGGAAGAGTACAAAAGGTGAAAAGGACATAACAAGGTTGGTCTTAACACTGGAATTAAAATTACAGCACAGACAGATATGCCGATTTGAAACTAAACCATTTTAATCTTATATATAGAATAGAATGACTATGTGCCATCTGGAATTCAGGGAATCCAATGAATGTTGGAGGTGTAAACAATGCACACAGCAGTATCAACATCTGTTTTCAGTGCCTGCTGATATATATGAGTCCTTGAGGGAAAAGTTGGAGAAAATAATGGAAATTGATAAAACCTGATGATAGAAAAAGGATCACATATAATTGTATTTGTTTAGGAAGAATATGGATTTACTCACGCTAAAAATAAATAGTGCATACAATGTATTGTCTGTTTTTCAGGAATCTCTTCTCCCTGTAAGTCCTTGAAAAGGACAATATTCATAGCAAATGCAACATTTTGGAAGGTTTGGCATGGGATACAGTGCCTCTCCTTCCCCAGGAACAGCTAATGGATAAATATCAGTAAGTTCTGAAAACCTACAGTAGTTAACTCTTAGGAGTCCACTCCTATGTCCTGCTGCATTGCTGAGAATGAGACTCCAGGATGGCTATGCCATTGCAAGTAAATTTAGCAATCTGAGCCTAAACCATTACAGAATATTACAAAACATAAGATTGGATTTTCAATACAAACAAAAATGAATTACTACACTAAAAATTAATTACTGCTAGCAATGTTAAAAAAAAAGGCTCTGTTAATATTTGGACTCAACATCAAATGGTCTTCCATTTTCAAAGGGCCCACAAAATAATATAAAAAATATTAAAAATGTTTTGCACAAACCTGCTTAAAAGTATTAGTTGACCAGGACCAATATTTTGTTTCTAGGAAGGGAACAATGATGACATTGATTATTTCCATAGCTAAAAATCCACAATGTAATTGATTTTTATCTGACTCATTTAGTGTGGGCAGGCTCCATTTGTTCAAGAAACCTGTAATATATTCTTTGAATCACTGTAACTATGAGAGATATAAAAGCTGATGTAATGAGTTAAACACACTATTTAACTCAATTTGTTTTGCACACTGAATTCCAATTTCTGACACAGATACAGGTTCTAACTAGAGCTACTGCTCATTTTTGAAGATGTCTTGTTAATTTTCTGTGCTCCCAATTATTCAAGAATTCTACTTTATTCAGGGTGCCTCTGGTTTTAGAATTCCCTGTCCTGAGATTTCATTTTCAGGTACACTGAGAACTTGCACCTTTCATTGAGTGATTGAGACCTGGGCTAGCAGCAAATTTGAAAGTCGTGACTAGTAAAGACTCCAGTGAATGAGAGAGCCAGACTAGGAGGAATTATTTGATCTGTGCATATCTTTGACACATTTGAATCAAAGGGTTAAAAGAACTTAGAAGCTAAAAATGTGGCTCGCAAAACAGAAGCAATGTATTTTGATTAAGAGCTTATTTAGAGGAGTTGAAACTATGTAGACTGTTTATTATTACCAGATGCAGCTAGCTAAAGCTAAGACAATATAGTACTTGCTTGACTTGGTTGTGTTTGTAGGAGACAAGAAACATGAGCCATTGTGAAGATAAGAAACTATAGCTGCACCTGGGCCCAGAAGCCAGCCAGAACCAGGATGTGGAGGGCCAAGAGACCAAAGAGACTGCCAACAAGACAAAGATAAAAAGTTTTATTGTGAGGAAGTCATCCCTGACTTCATCTTAAGAGGCCACTAACCCATTTTGAAACCCACCAACCCATTTGCAGAAAAGAGCTATGCAGGTGCGGAAAGACCTTAAGCTCATTATAATACTAAGTGGGGGTAGGTGGAGTTAGGTAATGCATATATATAGGTGTAGTGAATAATTATATGAATATGTAAGGTTTTCATGGATAAAAGAGGGCAAGAGCCCTGTGGATTTTGCACATGCCTGTAAGAGATTTCTCCCAGGTGTTCCCAACGTTGTAATAAACATACACTTTCTGACTTTAATTGGTTAGAGAGTTTGTCCATGTTTCACATTCAGTGTCTGCTCCTGAAAAGTCATGAATATTTGGGTCATGAGTTTGTATTCAAACTGCTAGACAGAAAAATTGCATAGGAGTCCAGCAGGGCTATTTGGAACTGATTGCTACCTCATCCTGAACTATCTAAGAATTTTCTGACTTAACTGTTCTCCAGAATTTTTCCTGTCAGAATTGGGCAGCAGTTGCCCACTATCTAAGGTTTATGATTCCCGCTGCTCATCAAGACCTGTTCAGTCACAAATTGAAGGGAATTAGGAATAGAAATGGATTTGTAGAAACTATTTATTATATATATCCACATAGATATCTGTGTTTTTGGAGTACTACAGGTTTCAGGTATATACTGTTTGACTCGGTCTAAGAAGAAAATATAAGTTTAAAACCTTTTATATCAGAACTTGATCTCAAATTTGGACTTGTTGGACTTTTCTTATTTGAAACAAATAGATTTTCCATTAATATACAAGAAAAACAGAAAACTGGAAGAAAGATTAGTATTTACTTTATGGCTCTGTATAGATAACTCTTGAGACTGCTTTCTCTTTCTTTGCTGATAAATGATATCTTATTAGAAAAAAATAAAACCCCTGATGATCATTGACCACAGTTGCTATTTCTGAAAAAACGAAAAACAAAAAACCAACTCAAAAGAAGCAGCAATCTTTCAAGTATTAAAATTCAATAAACAGTCAGAACACTTTGATACTTTTTAACTGGGCATACAACAGGGCATTGGTCTTTTCCTGGTTCACT